CCTAGCTTCAGCATTGCCCCCAAACACCCCCGTGCCTCCCCTTCCCCCACACTGAGCCACTATTACTTGGCTTCTCCCCACTTTTTCTATGTCCCGCAGCCTGCTCAGTCCGGGTTCTGACTAGATGCCCCGCCTCCTGCAGAGGCCGCACTGTACTAGGAGCCGTGCATTCCTTGTGACAGCCGCTGTTTGAGTCAGTAAGAGACAGCCCCAGAGCCTCCGTGCCGCTTCAATGACGGCCCAGCCTGCACGGCATCAGAATGGCCTGGAGACCACCAAAATTTTCCCACGGACCACTGGTTGGCGACCGCTGCCCTAGAAAAAGACCTCAGGAGGATGGTTGGTTCAAACTGAGAGAACAGGGTGAGCCTTTTAATAACCAGCTACTCCAACTGAGACGACTATATACAAACCAAATATGCCCCCCTCTTCGCCAGGCCTGTTTTCAGGAGCATCAATATGATGGGAGAGGTAATTATAAGCAACAGCATAGACTTCCAGCTTATCACAAGTGTGCCCCTTTGTTACATTGAAAAGATCTGGTTTCCTCACCGCTTATTAGTGCTTGCTAAGGTTTTAAAACTTGTGCCAAAAAACCCTAATAAATGTGACACAGACATAGACAAATTTGTTGGTGCCCTTATAGGGCATTGAAACAATGCTTAATTCCTCCTAAACGGTTAAAAGCAACGGTCTCATGTATCCCTGTATGTATTTGTATGTTAGAATAAAGCAAAGACTGTGTGAAACGAGCTAAATTATTACTTTACAATGACCTGGACAGATTTGTTGTTACCCCTGGAAAAGATAAATAATTGGACCAGGTTTGTTTATATTTAAAACTGTGTTCTGTAATTGGTATCGCGCATCGTACAATCTTGTCATTGGTCAGTCAGCCTATTTCAATGGAGAAAAGTAGTCACTTGGTATCATCGTGTGCACCAGACAGAATGTGGACCAGAGAAAGCAAAAAGCAAGATGTCTGAGGAGTTCAGAAAGAAAATTTATAGACCAGCATGTGAAAGGTAAAGGCTAAAAGACCATCTCCAAGCAGCTTGATGCTCCTGTGACTACAGTTGCAAATATTAAGGTCTATAGGAGTGTAGCCATCCTCCTTGGATGTGGCACAAGATGAAAATCGACCTTAGATTAAACAGAAGGATAGCGTGAATGGTAGACAGTCAAGGAAAACTTGCAAATACAAGCTGAACTCCAAGTTGAAGCTACAGCAGGGTCTTATGGCAACATCCGACACTTTTTGAGTGGGCACTATTGGAAGAAAAACATTTTTTAAAAAGACTGAAATTTGCTAAAATGCATATCGACATGCCGCAATGCTTCTGGGAGAATGTCATTTAAGCTGCCCATGCACCCTATGATTATCGGCCGATTTTTGCATGCGATTGCTTTTTCGGACGATATTCGTAAAATACTGTACAATTGATCGACTTTTGACT